CGTGAGTGGATAGTGTTCTAGCCCTGGAAAGTGCTGAGAAAGAATTCAGGGTGTCCCTCCCTTTCCCCAGACCCCATCAGATCACTTTATTAGACACATTAAAAAAAAAAAAAGTAAAAATTACGATGTAAAAGAGTTTCCCTTCTCAATGTTAAAGTAGTCTGCCTGCCTTTTCTGGGGTGGTCTGTTTCCCCAGCATTCTGTTATCTTGAGAGCGGAGACCAACACTTACTAATGAGGGAACTCTTTTGGCCCACAGTAGGCTCTTTAGGGCTCTAGCACTGTAGGTTGCTTTACAAATCCTCCCCTGGGGGAGGAGAGAGGGGGCTACAAGGATGTAAAGTGAATAAAATAAATAAATGAGAAAAAAATATATATGTATACATAAACCAAAAAAAGAAAAAAGACAAACCTTTCTGCAATGGAGTCTCACTGGGTATAAAACCATGTTCGTGATTTTTATTATGAGAGGTTGCTACAGTTAATTAAAGAATTTTCTTCCTTTATTGAAAAAAAAAAATCCTCCCTTGGCCTTTCGCACCCCTGGGGAATGGGCATGAATACGGCCATGCCCAGCAGGTGGTGTTGATAGGAAGGTTTGGTGCCTTTCCAGCTTGTAGTATTTAAGACGCTAAACGTTTTAATCACAGTAGGTACTGATCCTAAGTATGGAGGGAAGAGGTTTTCTCACGGGGAAATTTTCTTTTTCATAAAAGTGGTATTAGATGGTCCTTCCAGGTCAAGATTCCATCCTAATCATAGACAGAGGGAGTCTCAGGACAGAGAGAAGATTGGCTGGATATTTAACCTCGTGTCTTTCTTATCCCCGCCAACTGGTAGGTAACTTGTAAAAGAGTGATTTCCTTGAAGGGAGAAGGTTCAGGGGAAAAGGATGGTGGGGTGAGGCAGCGTACTGTCATCTGCCTAGCATGGGCCAGGCCCTGAGTTTGATTCCTGCCGCTGGAAGGAAAAGGAAGTGCGTTCTATCACCAGTGTTAATGCACTATAAAACTGTCACCAAAATAAATGTCTTACCTGACGAAGAAGCTCGTTTTGTGTGTGTTTCATTTTGTGTGTTTGGGCTTTTTTATGTTTGCTTTTTCTCATCTCTGTGGCGGTGCTGTTGTTGGTTTTGAGGTAGGCGCTCAGGTAGCCCAGGCTTGCCTCAAACTCCACCTGTAGCCGAGGCTGGCCTTGAACTCCTGATTTCCTGCCTCTGCTTCCACGTGCTGGGATTAGAGACTTACGTCACCGTACCAGCATAGCCTTTTTCTGACGTTTAGAAATGATCACCTAGGAGGCTGAAGAGATGTCTCCAGTTGAGAGTATACAGGACCCCAGTCTGGTTCCCAGCACCTGTGCTGAGTGGCTCATCAACCTCTTTTAACTCCAGGTCCAGGGGATCCAGGACCTCTGGCCTCCAAAGGCATCTGCACATCCCCGAATACAGATACACGCATAATTAAAAATAAAATCTTTAAAAAAAAAAAACCCACACACCTAAAATTTAGCCCTTGGAGGTACCATTCTGGAAAGTTGGCAGAATGTGTAGGTCTATCTCATGATGTGCTGGCTAAGGTAAGACTTCCAGACACAGAAAAGGACTCAGTGCATCCGGAGTTGGGATGGGAGGAGAGGGACAGTTAGGGGAACTCGGGGAACCAGTGAAAATTCTTTGTTTTGCTTTGTTTTTTTCTAGACAAGCCTTCTCTGTGTAGCCCTGGCTGTCTAGAACTCTCTTTGTAGCCCAGGCTGGCCTCGAACTCACAGAGATCCTTCTGCCTTTGCCTCCCCAGTGCTGGGATTAAAGGTGTGCGCCACCACTGATGCCCTTTCTCTTTTTGAAGATTTATTTATTTAATGTATATGAGTGCTGTGTCCGAATAAACACCTGTGTGCCAGAAGAGGGCATTATGGATGGTTGTGAGCCACCATGTAGTTGCCGGGAATTGAACTCGGGAACTCTGGAGGATCAGATGGTTCTCTTAAGCGCTGAGCCATCTCTCCAGCCCGTGAAAATTCTTTGCAGGGCACTAATGAAGGATGCATGCCAGTCTCTGTGCCCGTGTGCTGGATAGCTGCAGGGGATGATGCTGAGTGAGAGAAAGCAGGCATTAGTTTCGTTTGCCGTAATATGTTTGTTGCTTTTTAATTGAAAAAATGACGTAAATCAAGGGTAGATTAGTGGTCGCCAGGGGTTAGGACTAGAAGAGGGAGGGTGAGTGAGATGAGTGGACATCTTTGCACAAGAGCGACAGAGCAGGCCGTGGTGGCGGGTGCCTGTGATCTCAACGACCCGGGAGGTGATCTGGAGTTCAGGGTTAGCCTCGGCCTTTGGTGTATGAGACCCCGCTTCAAAAACTTAGGAATAAACAATGAGAGGACATCAGGGTAGCTCCTCGGGGCCTCGGGGCTGCTCCTCATCTTAACTGTGGTGGTGGGTGGGCACCTCTCATGTGATAAAAGTGCACGGACGCACGGGGGTGTAGGCCAGTAAGTCAGGGAGGATGTGAGCGAGGTTGGTGCACTGTGTGTCCTGCTTGTGGCGCTGTCTGGCGCCTTTGGTGGGCTGTGGAGGGAGACTGGGTAGAGAGCACATTAAAAAAGTACTTGTCGACCCACAATTATCTTGGAATTTTAAAAAGTAACAACAACAACAAAACCCTATCCAGGTGTGGTGGTGTGCGCCTGTAACTACAGGGCTTGGAAAGCTGGGAAGCAGGGGGATCACGAATCTACAGCGAGACCGTCTCAACAACAAAACAGACAAACAGAAACAACAGACAACAAACCCATCACACCACACAAGAATGTTTACAGCAGTAGTGCTGAGAACCAGAGGTTAGAAAGAGCCTCAGTTACAATCGGCAGGGATCCACTGAGACCCTGGGGTTTGACTCCAAGACTGTCAACTAATCTTGAGAAATGGGGTGTGTGTGTGTGTGTGTGTGTGTGTGTGTGTGTGTGTGTTTTCGAGACAGGGTTTCTCTGTGTAGCCTTGGCTGTCCTGGACTCATTTTCTAGACCACGATGGCCTTGAACTCACAGAAATCCTTCTGCCTCTGCCTCCCTGAGTGCTGGGATTACAGGCGTGGGCCACCTGGCTATGATACGGTTTTTGTTGTGGGCCTGTCACTCAATTGAAAAAACAGAAGGCAGGCACCACAACAGGCTCCCTGAGCCATCCTGCTAGAGGGCAGGGGTACCCATCGGCCGAGGAGCTTCCAGAGGGATGGGCCAATAAGAATCTCCGTCTCTCTGCCTACTCTTTTTCCTGTGAACACTACTTGAATTCCAAATAAAATAATGAATAAACAAAACCCCACGCTCTGGTCACTTGGTTTCTCCGCTTGTGCCCAGCAGGTGGCGGGAGTGTTCCAAGAACAGGTTGCACCTCTGTTTAACGTGGCGGTCATCTCCCATCAGCAGGTGGCGCTGTGAGACCCTCTTCTGCAGGCTTTACAGAACTCGGGCTGGGATCTGCTGTCTCCCAAATGTGGAACCTCAGGACTGCTTTTCTGGCCCAGAGAGGGTTAACAGTACACATTCCAGAGCAGGGAAAAAGGAGACTGGAGGTCACAGACAAAAGGAGGGGCCACCGAGGCTAGCTTCTAACAACACCACAGCTCTGGTGGGAGAGAGAGATCACCCCCAACAATGGCCACAGCTGTTTTTGTCTGCCCCGAAGGAAACTGACTTAGGAAGCAGGTATCAGAGTGGGGCCCTTCCTGAGGCGACTGCTGTCTGCCTTGTAAAACTGTCAGAGCAGCTGCCTTGATGTGTGGGTGATGGAAGATGAAAAGGGCGACACAGGCGGTTGGCCACAGATGGACAGGCCACTGACAAGTCAAGGCAGGTGACAGAGCCCTGCAGAAGCTCTGCAGGTGGAGGACTCTGATTCATTGCTCAGTTTAGCATACCAAGGCAAGGTGGACCACGGACTTCCTCCAGAGCTGCAGGCGCCCTCCAAAAAATCCATCGGTGGAGGCTTCTGCCTGCCCTCCTTTTTTTGCACCTCAGGTGTGAATGCCCCCACCCTCCCCCTCCTGCCACGGCCCTCCTGCTGCTGCAGCCTGAGCCAGTGAATGGAAAAGTAGCCACACATGGTTATAACCCCAGAACTGCCTTTGGCACACCAGCCAATAAGCCACCATGAATTCCCTGTCCCTCTCATCTGATGGCTGTGGACACTCCACCTCTCCCCCTGGTTTTGAAGAGAAAAACCAAGAGAGGCTTCCTTGATCAGAATCATCTGAGCAATGCAAAGTTGGGGGCCAGTGGTATTTCTTTAAAAGCATCCCTCTTAGGGCTGGCGCATAGCTCGGTGGCAGAGGGCTTGCAGAACAAATACCCTAGGTTAGATTCCCCAGAATTCCCCCAAACGAACGAACAAACAAACAAAGCATCCTCCTGCCTCTGTGTGGGGATTCGGGGATGGGGGCAAACAAACACCTTTAACTGAGACCATTCGCTAGCGGGGTGACAGCTGAACTTGGCTAGAGGAATTTGGTCAGCTGGACTCTGCCCTGGGTAGAACTCAGAGCCCCACATGTTTCCTTTGTTAAGCTGGCACGCAGTTTGTTTTGAGAATGCCTGAGGGGCCCAGGGAGCCAGACAATTAAAAGCCAAGCTCATTTTGATATCTGAAAACCACAGCCGTCTTGCACGTGGGAGGTGCTGGGATTGCTGGCTGTCCCTGCCTCACCCCCTACACACACACACACACACACACACACACACACACACACAGAGTTTGGGTCACCTGGGAGTGCCGGCAGCAATTTGGAAGTTTGCTGAGCTTGAGAAGTCTTTTGGGGAGGGCTCACTCAGAGCACACCCCTTTCCCTCTGGGGAGGGGGCGGCCGAGGAGACACGGGACCAGCCCCGCTCCAGCCCATCCTTATTGGCTGGCATGAAGCAGAGGGGCCTTTAAAAAGGCCACCATATCTGGGCTGGGGACTGGAGCCTGTGCTACTGAGTGCCCTCCTCCATCTGGCACCATGCAGCTCTCTCTAGCCCCGTATCTCATCTGCCTGCTTGTCCATGCAGCCTTCCGTGCTGTGGAGGGCCAGGGGTGGCAAGCCTTCAAGAATGATGCCACAGAAATCATCCCAGGGCTCAGAGAGTACCCCGAGCCGCCTCAGGAGCTGGAGAACAACCAGACCATGAATCGGGCAGAGAATGGGGGGAGACCTCCCCACCATCCCTATGACACCAAAGGTATGGGGATGGGGAAGGCATGGGGGTCCTGGGAGGCAACGGGGGTAGTTTCAGAATCTTTTCTTTGGAGCCTTTGGAGAGTCTGTGGATGGTCAGCCTCTGCCACACCAGTGGAGGGATGGGCTTGCCTGGAAGGATGCTAGCACAGCATTAGAATCTGAGGACAGATGGGCTTTTCGGGGGCTGGCATTGAGCATGCAAGGCAGGGTGGAGGCTGAGGTCAGCCTGAGCTGGCATTAAGACAGGCATAGTTTAGAGAAGCTCCTAGCTGCTGACCTGTGGCAAGGTGACAAACCGAGGCTGGTAACAGTTGCATTGCATGCCAGATGCTGCAGCTGAAGTATGTTCCACATGACCACCCTAGCTTGAAGGTAGAGAAACAGGAGCTCCTTGACATAAAGTCACCTGGGAATAAGAAGAGCTGAGGCTGGAAGGAAGCTGCTTTGATCCAGTTAGTTGCAAGGCAACCCTAGATTGGGTTTCGGTGGGAACCAGAAGCCAGAATCCCTTTAGCTCCCCTCGTGCATGGTCTGCCCGGTGGGCCCAGTGGGCTAGCACTAAAAGAATGGGGTTTGTAGGTAAGGTTTGAGCCTGTGACGTGAGTGCCAGTTGAGTGTAGCATCCCCTTGTGTGGGCACAGGTGGCACCATCTGCCCTGAGCTTGCACCCTGGCCCCAGCTTTGCCTCATTCCTGGGGACGGAGCCTGCAGAGGCAGGCCTGCACAGAGAAATGCCTAGGGGATCAAGGGCACAGCTGGCAGGAATGTCTGGGGTGGGGGCGCAGCTGGACGGCCACTCCAGAATGAGGACTCTGCTGCCTGCTGGTCACCATTAGTGTGGGAGAAAAGCTTGTTTGCCAGGCTACCACCACACTTGGTCCCTCCTGTCCTCAAGCCAGTGAGGAATGTGGGGAAAGGGGCCACCCCAAAGAAGCATGCAACACAGTCACGTTTTGCAGAGGAAGTGCCTGACCTAAGGGCACTATTCTTGGAAAGCCCCAAAACTTGTCCTTCCCTGGGCAAACAGGCCGCCCCCACATACCACCTCAGCAGGGGTGAGTAAGTCAGGTCAGTCCAGAAACCAAAACGCCAGCCACAGGACAGGAGGGTGGCAAGGCCCACATCCCCCGATGCGCCTGCTCTGGGTGGAGATGTCCCTCTGCCCCTCTCTGGTTTTGGTCCTGGGACCTCTTTCTTCCTTTTTGTTCTCTTTCTTTCTTTCTTTCTTTCTTTCTTTCTTTCTTTCTTTCTTTCTTTCTTTTTCCTTTCTTTCACCTTTTGTGTCATATTAGCCTTGACACCATAAAACCTTGTAGACGGAACCCATATATAGATTAGCTAGCTTAAAAGCTCCTGTCCACCTAAGTTCATGGTAGGAGACGTCGCCTGGTTGTGTACAGGAGATGAGACCAGGCATCAGACCCAGGAGATGAGGCTAGACACCAGATCCAATCCCTTCCCCAGAGAACAGACTCCCAGCCAGATCCAACCACAGGGAGCGACCTGCTGAAGGCACTAAGAACAAGATAGCCTGGTATACAGCAGGTGCTAAACAAAACGCTTATGATGGCAGAAGCTGTAGGTTTGGGGTCAGGACTCTGACACCCCCCCCCCCCAACCCGTGCGCCCTCTACCCCTGCTCCCACCCCATCCTTAGCCCGGGATCCTATAACAAATCACTTTCACTCTTGCCAGAAGGTGCCAGCATGCTCTGAAGGGGCGGCAGGCAGCCCGGCCCTGCCTTCGGGGCAAGTGCTCTTCTCAGCCTGGACCTGTGATAATGAGGGGGTTGGCCACACCGCCTTTGGTCGCTTTTCAAGTCTAATGAATTCTTATGCCCACCACCTGTCCTTCTCCCCCCACTCCCCCCAAATCCTCCACAACAGCTGTCCTGATTTACTACCTTCAATTAACCTCCACTCCTTTCTCCATCTCCTGGGACTCCGCCCCAGCACCAGTGGCTAGCAAAGGAGTTCAGGAGGGACCAGGGCCAGCCAGGTGTGGCTACAGGGCTCCCAGGCAGGTCTGAGGACACAGGGCTAAATTAGAAGGGTGCCTGTTCAGTGTGCAGGAAGCCTTGAGTTAGATCCCTAGTACCTCAGAGTGAGTGGCCCACGCCTGTCCTCCACCGCCACAGGAGAGGTGAAAACAGGAGCTCAGAAATTCAACACCATCCTCAACTACACAGCCTGTTTGAGGCCATAAGACCCGGCCTCAAGACAAAAACTGCCACCTCTGATTCTGTGCCACATAGTGGATGAAGTCCTTGAATCCTGGGCCAACCTGTTTTCCAGACGGGGAGGCAAGGAAGAGCGACGTTAAGTTACTTGCGTACAGATCACACAGAAAATTAAATGAAAGAGGGCTGGTGTATTTGATCACTGGGTTCCAAGGACAGAAGGCAGCCAGGGGGGAGCTCTTCCCCCACCAGCTCCAAAAGTACCTGTTGCCTCCTTCCTATAATCCACGCACAAATTAAAAAGCGCCTGGAGAGGGGCAGGTTTGGAGAAGGGGGGAGGGCTGGAGGGAGCAGGCTAGCCCGGCCCAGGCCCTCACGCTTCCCTCTTCCCCGCAGACGTGTCCGAGTACAGCTGCCGCGAGCTGCATTACACCCGCTACGTGACGGACGGGCCGTGCCGCAGCGCCAAGCCGGTCACCGAGCTGGTGTGCTCCGGCCAATGCGGCCCGGCACGGCTGCTGCCCAACGCCATCGGCCGAGTCAAGTGGTGGCGCCCGAGCGGCCCCGACTTCCGCTGCATCCCCGACCGCTACCGAGCTCAGCGGGTGCAGCTGCTGTGCCCCGGGGGCGCAGCGCCGCGAGCGCGCAAGGTGCGCCTGGTGGCCTCCTGCAAGTGCAAGCGCCTCACCCGCTTCCACAACCAGTCGGAGCTCAAGGACTTCGGCGCGGAGACCGCGAGGCCGCAGAAAGGTCGCAAGCCGAGGCCCCGGGCCCGGGGCGCCAAAGCCAACCAGGCGGAGCTGGAGAACGCCTACTAGGGCGCGCCCGCGCCTCCGCAGCCCCCTCGCGCGCGCGCGCGCGCGAACCGACTGTTTTCATTGTAAAGCCTGCAGTCCAGGCCCCGGGGCGCCCTATCTTCCAGGCGGTGCGGAGTCCCCAGCCAAGCAGAGTCCCCTCGCTCTCCTGCCCGCTGTGGGGGTGGGGTGGGGTAGGGGGTGGGGGGTGGGGGTAAGTTCCCCGCAGGCCAGGAGTCATAGACTGAGCCGCTCTGCCCGGCCCCCTCCCCGGGGGACCCTCCTAGCCTTGTCCCCCTAAAGGACCGGGCAGCGTTTTCAGCGTAAAGGGAAGGGAGTGTGGAGGGACCTGGGGCTGGTTAACGAGGTACAGTAAGATCTCCCCGCTCCATACCGACGTCCAGCCTGTGTGCGCAAGAACGCCAACCCAGGACTCGATAGGGTTTCTGACCCCAGCGTCTCCTTTGTGAAATGGGGGTCAGGGCGAGATTAGACTCTCCGGGACTCTGCTGAGGTTCCAAAGATTGGGGTGCCCCTATGTGGGCAGATAGAGGGCACAAAGAGGGGGAGAGAGAGGGAGAGGAAAAGAGATTTCCGGTTGGCAAACGCCTAGAAGAAGCTGTTAATTCCCAGCCTGGCCTCCCCAGATTGCCTTCAGCGGGGGAGAGGGGGGCGGGGGGGGGTGTAGAGAAGGACAGGCTTTCAGAGATGGCGGGAGGGACAGAAATCACACTCCTGGTCCCCAAAGATCAGTGTCCCGTCCCCCCACTGCCTTGTCATATCCGTTTAAGGGTCTTTGGGGGAAATTGGGCTTGCCAGCCAGCCACCTCCCATCAAAGCTTTCCCTTCCTCCTGCCTGCCACCCACGGCCACATTTCTGTCTAGGAAAAGAGCCTCTTCAGAGCCTCCTTCTCGATAGCTGGCGTATCTTACATCAGAAGAGTACCACTCGGCGGGGAGGGACACGTGCTGTACATATGCTTGGGAGCAGGCGCCACAGCGCCACCCACAAACTTCTTGTAAATCATCTCCAGGCGCCTCTTACTTTCTGTGTAGATGTTAATTGTTAAAAGGGGAGGGGGTGAGGGAAAGAGTGTCTGTAGCCCAAGAGTCTGCATCTGCGGCAGGGGTTGCCCCTGGGGCCGGGCTGGTGGGACTGGCGAGCTTTCGGCGTGAGACTCGTGGGCAAGAACGAAAGCTGCGGTTTTTAAGGAGTCCGGGGACATATTTATTTTCTCGTTTAAGTTATTTATGCCGACATTTTTCTTGTAGGGAGAGGCAGTGCTAAGAGCGCTTTGTGAAGCACAGGCGTGTGTTTCTGGCGACCAGAGGCACTGTTAATAAAGACAATGAATCAAGGCAAGGGGATGCGGTCTTGGTTTTTGTTTTGTTTTGTTTTGTTTGCCGACCACACACAATGTCATGCCTGTCATCTCACACCCTTCCCTTGGTCATGAGGCCCAAACCCTGATGACACTTCTGAGTACTCTCTGCTAACCCTGTGGCAATTATGTGTTTCCTCTCAAAAGTCATGTTCATCCCTTCCTTTCCAAATCTAGCCCTGGGTCCCCTCCTGGGTCATAGGCATAGCCTCGCCCTGCCTCCTGTTAGCCGACTGCCCTCCATACTCTCTTCCAAAAGTGCTGCTGTCACCCAGCCACTCCCTTGCTCCAGTTCATCCCATTGCTCCCCCTTGCCCTTTCTCCACCTTGATTCTCACCCCCAACTCTGCCAAGCCCACCGACTGACTCCAAATGGCCCTGCCAATAGATACCCCTGCCTCTCCGGTTTGCTGACTCCACTTGCCTGAATTCCTCCCCTTTCTCTGGGACTCGTGGACCGTTCACGGGCTCCCTGAGCCTTCCAGGAACCTTCCAGTGTCTGATGCGTCCTCACTCTTACCGTGTCCCACAACCCTCTTTGGTTCCTAATTCCAGACCTTCCCTTGTACACTCATTCACTCATGGGATATTGTCTAGCCTAGCCAAGCCCTGCTTGATACATAAAGGCAAAGCCAAGAACAATTGAGGACCAGTTCGTAGGGAATTGGGCCAAGCTTTTTCCAACTATGAATTTTACAGAGCAGAGGCGATGCCTGGCTCTTTTTTTCCCCCAACATCAGGTGGTCTGGAAATGCTTGCTAGTGCTGCAGGCTGGGACTCAGCAGCTACTTTTTGGTTGCAATAAAGAGAAATGGGTTTGGTGGAGTAGTGCAGACCATAAGTCCAACACTTGGGCAGTGAAAGTAAGGGGATTTGGGAGTTCAAGGCCAATCTGACCTATATTAGGCCCTGTCTCAACCTCCCTTCCCCACAATCTGTTTTGTATTTTGGATTTGAAATGGCAACAGTTTAAATCAAATCAAACGAAAATTATCCCTTAAGTAAGTTATCCCTTAAATAAGTCCTTGATTTGTGTACCTGCTGGGACTTGAACCCAGGACCTTGTACATGCCAGGCAAGCTCTCTACCACTCTGCCGCCTGCCCCTGCTGGCTTTGTGTTTTAACTCCCAACAAATATCTCTCAATGAATTCTTACCACCAAGTCTTTGACTCCCTGTGTCTCCAGACCCCCTGGGGGACCTTTCAGAGAACCCAGGCATCCTGAAGAATGCCCCAGAACAAGGAAGCAATGGAGATCTTGGCCAGCCCCACAAGGCAGTGAGGTACAGAGGGTGAGGACAGAGACCTCCCCCTCTGAAGCAGAGGAGACTGGAGTAACCAGGATTGTAATGCTTCCCCCAGCCAGTCAGCCTGAGCTGGCACCCACTCAGCTACTCAGAGCCCAGTGGGCACACGGGGGAGAAGAGTCAGGCTGCCCTGCTGTGCACCCTGATTCAGAGCAGGCAGGAACAGTTAGCTCTATGGTGACCCCCGGGGACAGTGGTTAGGGGAGGGACACAGCAGAGTGTGCTGGAGGTTTGCCTGAAGGGGAGGCAAAGGCCCCACTCAGACGACGACAGCACTGAGGCCGTGCAGAGCTGCCATGGTGCAGGAACTCATTCATCATCCTTCAGCAGGCCCTTGTAGCCCCGCCATAGGCTAGGGGTGGGGGAAGGGGCAGAGAGTCCAAGTAATGCCCAAACCTGAGCACACCTCGGACTTGCTCTCTGAGACTGGCAGATGTAAGAAAGACCAACTTGGGCTATGATCCCATTACCACCAAGAGAAGAAAAAAAAAAAAAAAAAAAAAAAACAAGGGCTAAATTGTAGGTCAGGTTAGAGTTTATTTATGGAAAGTTACATTCTACCTCCATGGGGTCTACGAGGCTGGCGCCGATCAGAAAGGACAAACAACAGGCTGAGCTGGAAGGGGTGGCATTTTCCTGTGGGGAGCACGTGTGCTTGGGGTGCAACCAGACTCGGAGCTCGTATTAATAGTCTGAGAGTCAGACAGACAGGAGGACAGAAGGAAACACCCCCCCATCTCTCTTTCTCTCTCACACACCACTCATTCCTCACTCCAAGAGGTCCTACTTATATTCTAAGAACAAACCATGCCACAGACGCTGGGACCTGCATGAGCCCTCGCCCACAGCTTGCCTGACACCAGCCCACACACCCTGGTCTTGTCTCCTGACTGCTGATGATGACAGAGCTTGGGTCTGACCCAGTCTTGGAATGCACCCCAGTCTCTCTATCCGAGGGCACATGAGGACTTGGGAAGCTTCCACAGATATTGGAGGTGTCCTTGTTGTTTGTAGTTTAACTCAGGTGTGCAAGTCTTTTTGCTTCATGTAGGTCATGCATCATTTGCATGCCTGGTGCCCGAGGAGGTCAGAAGAGGGCATGGAACTGGAGTTACAGGCAGTTGCAAGCCACTATGTGGGTGCTGGGAATTGAACCCAGGTGCTCTGGAAGAGCAGTCAGCTAGTGCTCTTAACCACCGAGCCATCTTTCCACCCCAGCGCTGAGGTTCTTTCTGTGGCTACAGAGACCGGAGGCAGAAGAGAGTTTCTTTTAGTGAATACAACCATGTTGTGCCTGGTGGCACGAGAGAGCAGGGCAGGGTGGGCCCCAGGGCCACCCGATGGACCAGCAGACTTAGTAACAGCCCTAGTTTTACTCTTTAAAAGGTCCCACTTCGGAGTAATAGATACATATTCCCCGCTTCAAAGTGGCAGAGGTCCGGGTGTCCGTTTCCAAATGCTTGATCCTCTTTCTGGGGTCGGGGAAGCTTCCCGCCTGTGAGTGTGTCCATTCTTCAGCCTTAGACGAGCCTCGCTTTCCCTGGGCAGTCAGACCAGTCCAGAGTCCTTCCATTTCTCTTTCTCTTTTTGTCGGGGGGGGGCGGGTGGGTGGTGATGGCACCTGTCTTTAATCCCAGCAGAGGGCAGTCGGATCTCTGTGAGTTCAAGGCCAGCCTGTCCTACAGAGTGAGTTCCAGGACGGCCGGGGCTACACAGAGAAACCCTATCTTGGCGGAGGGGAGAGAAAAAGAAGAGAACCCCCTTCCTCAGAGTGTCTGTCTCAGCAATTGGTTAGCCATATTCTTACTCTTGTCTCTTTGCCATTCTAGACTATAAGATCAGGAGAGCCGGGGCTCTCTCTGTTGGACACCCCCCCCCCCAGAACCAGATGTATGGAAGATGCCGAACGTGTTGAAGTTGCACATTTGCTGCTGGGTGGAATGGGTCCGGTGTGTGCACAGTGACTGAGGGAGCAAGGGGTACGCGATTCATGGCCGCAGAGGACGCCCGCACAGAGCAACGCTCCGTTTGTGTACAGATGTGCAGGTGTGAGCGCATGGGCACAGAGGCCAAAGTGTATATATGTATGCCATGTGTGTGTGTGGTGCTGAAGGGGGCCAGATGCGGATCTCCTGGAACAAGTTACAGACAGTTGCAGAGTTATGAGCCTCCCCGCCCCCGCCCCATGAATGCTGGGAGCCAAATTCCTGTGCTTTGCAAGAGCAGCAGGTGCTGTGAACCCTGAACCACCTCTCCACTCTCTAGCTGCCCGGTCTTTGGGAGGAGTTCTTCCTATTTCTCTGAACTGAAAGGGAACATCCTTATCAGTGAACATGCTGGAGTCACCAAAGCCAAGTGTGCACATACACACACACATACACACACACACACACACACACACACTAACGAAAGCAGGCATGCGTGCCATCTTTGCTTGAATATGCCTTGCTAAAAGCATGC